TGTTGCAATGTGGTACCAAGACTGGGAATGTTCTTAGATGACTATTTGGCAATGGCTGTCTGAACTCTGATTGATACTCAGCAGCCTCTGACATAATATCCTATGGCATTTATCACCCCTGGAGACTCTCTTGAAATTTGAAGCTGAAAATCGATAGTGAGAACTATGTCTTAATAGCTGTGTCTACCAGGGTTCATCCAAGGAAGCAAAAACCCAGAGTAGCTGGACCTAACAGGTTCAAGGTTGTTTTGAACTCTGTAAGCAAAATAGAGTCATCTTCGGCCTGTGGAGAACGAAAGCCAACAGCTTTATACTGGTGTAAAACAGAGGATAATGAGACCTTCTCTGCTGATCCAGCTATTAAGGCTTCCATTACCTTACTATCCCAAAGGACACACAAGTATTATTGAGTGGAATTTGGAAATCAAATAAGGAAGCAGAGGGAAGAAATATCCTATTTTATTTTGTGTCTGGACTATACGAGCACTGCTGCTATTTTATGGTGTGAGTGTCTGGGGCAGTGCGGGTCACGAATCTAGCTGGATTAATTCCATTCTTCTTCTATCTCTACTGCTTTCTAAATTAAAGGAGGTGGTTGGAGACAACCTTCATACTCTCTGTTCTGTTCCTACAAGACATGCAGGCACGACCCTCCTTCTGTACATAGCCATTCTTTCTCAATTCTGTTGAAACATAAATGAGTGCTTCTGCAAAGTTAACGAAGAAATGCAACCCAAAAAATGTTAAATCTAATTATTTGCATCAAATAGTACAAAGTATTTCAATAAAATGAACGAACATTATATTCCATCTGCTCTTTGTAACAAAAAAGTGGCACATGGATTTTTCAAGAAGTGCTTTGTAACTCCCAGGTGGCACATCTACCTTGCAATATAGCAGTTACTATAGTAACTGCTTCTTTTTATAGAATATATTTGTACTTTTCAAGTTTAACCTCTTCATGGTCTCAAAATGTGTCCTTTTCATCTGATTCCAGCTGTTTCAAATGAACCCCGTTAGGGTTTGCAACAGAGAAATGAACACTATGGTATCATGCAAAGACTTTAATGAAATTCAAAACAAGATATCTTCTTTCTAACAATGAGGAAAAAATGGTTGGTTTTTTACCCCATGAGAAGCATGCAGAACAGCAGCATAAAATTAGTAGGCTGAGATAACTTAGAAGTGTTTGTTAACATTCTATACAAGTCAGTATGGGCCAAATCTCGTAGTCCTGACTCAGTCCTTTCTCAGACAAAACACCAAGTGGGAGTTGATGAATAAAAAGTGAACAGAAAAAGAAAACAGTGTAAGAAGAGAACTTGGCCTTCAGCACAAAACTAGGCTAAACTGCACATCTCCTACACAGTCCAACATTTTTTTCCAAACTTCAGGCATAAATAATTGTGGTCAAAAATAAATTAACTCTATCAGTCTGCAAATTTCTAAAATACAGTGAGATGTTACACTCAGGCTTCTGTGTCCTTTGCAAATAAGTGCATACCAGAATGAGTCAGATAAGTCAGATAACTTACAGCATCATCCAACAGTTTCCCTGTGCTCTTTTTCCCAGGAGACTTGGTTGGTGACGGTGAAGGAGATGGAAGGGGGGCTGAAAGTGTTTCCTCTTGTTCAATCTCCTTTTCCAACTTTATTAATCCAGGAGGCTCCACCCCAAACCTTTTGGAAACATGCAAACAAATTACTAGCCCTTATAAAGTATTCCATATTTTAAAGTAAAACTGTGGAAAAAAATTATACTTTCTGTATTGCACTGTTGTGGAATATATTGCAACCCACACTAATAAACAAGTATAAAATATATCAATCATTAATGCAATCATTCCAAATTAATACAAAGAATGAATGTAAATGGCATCTCTCAGTTGATCAAATTTACAGGAAATAGAGTTTTTCTTCAGCTTCTCTGTCTGATAACATATATGTTGGTGCATGACTAATATATGAACAGCACTAGGCCTCAAAAATTGCTATACCATGTAGGACAGATTCAAGCTCAGTACATTGTCTTTTTTCTTTTATTTTCTTCCCTCCTCCCCACCACCAATATCCTTTCAAATTACTTGACCATTTGTTTTTTCTGATAACATTTTTCGAAGAAATCCAGATGAAAAGGAATGAAAGACTTATCCTGGTCTCAACTATTGCACTGAATTTATAGATAAATAAATTGAGACATGGGTAATATTTTTGAGAAGTGGCTAATGCTTTTTCTAACTGATTTTTGACAGCCAATCGTCAGATCTCTGTTTACAGTGGCAAGACACTTGTAGCTCCAACTAAAACAAAACACACGCAACTTTGGCATGGAGCATTTCAAACATAGCACTTGGAGAACAAGGCTCTTTAAAACAATGCCTGCTTTTGAAAGCTTTATGGACACCGATTAAGTCAGTATCTCACTGCAAGCAGCACAGCTTGGATTGATGTCACAAGTCTAAAAGTTCATCTCATTTTCCTAATCACTTCTAATTACTCTGTTTTTTCATTTTGCCAACCCTGAACAAACCCCAGAAAAATAGGAAGATTTCCTTTTGCAGGACTTCAGCTTGAAAAAGTTATCATGCCAGGTAGGCTTCTCATAGCAAACCACTTGCATAAATGAAATTTTCTCCTGTAGCAGAAAAGTCCATAGCCCAGATGCAGAACTATGCTGACTTATCTAGGTAAAGATCTGGACACTAAAATATTGAGCGGTAACAAACAATATTACGCAAATCTAAGCTAAATGCCATAATGATGTTAAAAGCGTACTGAGAAAGGGCATAAGAGCATATACTGTCTTTTGTATTCTTGGGATAACTTTTAATTTAGTCACACTACTGCCGAGTAAATTAATATAGAGAAAACTAAGAACCAAACCTGTGCTTGTATTGGCTTCTAACTGGTGCAATCCGCCTAATGAAAAGTCAGCCAACATTGAAGCAAGCACTTATATACAAACCATTTACTTCCTGTCTGTCTGCAGATGCTGACAGGCTGTAAATCATTAAATTCCCACCGGGCTCTAAGCCTACACCTGCATGCAGCCTTACTCATCAAATACAACTCTTCCACTCTAAGCAATGCTGCTGCTTTGCTTCTACTGCTTTGCTTCTACTGCTTTTCATAATCTCCAATTTTTGTCATTTTTAAAGTGACAGACTTTAAAAGTCCCCTGTATTTCCAGTATTCTGAATTCCTCTAGTGACGAGTTGAAAAATAATACAAAATAACAAACACACACATGCACATTTTTTACCCACATATTGTATTAACCTGAAGCAAAGCTGCTGGAAAACTGAAATGGTAAAAGCCACATTTTTTCTAGGAGGGGTAGAGGTGCAAATTCTGGTCTGGAAGGTATGCTGAGAATTTCCTTTTCTGTTCTTTTGTAGCCTGCCTTCTCATAACTACAAATGAAGCAGCATTGGACTGCAACATGATCTCCAATAGACTTCTTAGAGCACCACTTCCCATTTTTACCAAGGAAAAACTGAATACAATAGCAGAAAGATCTTGAAATTGCTCAACAATAACTTCAAAGGACCTGTGGGGTTTGTTTAAGCCCCCAGAGTTTAAACGTTACCCAAAAACTTCATTCTTTCTGCAGAAATGATAGTTTAGCTGTTTTCCATTGTATAATCTCTCTTTAAAAACACGCACAGACAGCACATATACATCTATTTGCAAATAATTACATTTTCCATGAAGTCTAGATTATGAAGATTACACAGATTATGCAGCGGTCATTTCTGTTCTCACATCAATTTAGTTTAAATGATTCACTCCGACTTTAAAATACTTGGAAGAATGTTGGACCTGTGCAACCCACTGCAATAGCCCTGTGTATTGTCAATGCTTCATTTCATCCCATAGGACACTTCCCTCTCTCTACCCACATTATGTCTGCTGGTGCACACAATGGCCCATTTTAGCTACTAGAATTTCACAGATGACCTCGGAATTTTGATTTCATAAACAACTGAAATCCAGGAGAGTTTATCAGGCTATTCTATTATTATTAGGACCTGGGCTTTGAACTGCCACTCCTTGAGCCAAGTGGTCGCATCAGTTTTCCATTCACTCTGTAGTCCATCCATCCCATTCATCTCTCTTTAATTTGGCTAAAAGGACATTATGAGAGAATAAACTAAAAGCACTGCTGAAGCACAGCCAAATTATCAACTGTCTCCCCCCATCCATAGAGTATCTGTTGAATGGGTTCAAGTTTAGCAGAACAGAGCTCAATTCTATCTCTATCTCAAACAATCCCTATTCCTTCTCCCTCGTGCCTCAATCCCAAGCCTATTTTCATTAAGACACACCAGGCTGACTTAAAGGAGTTATAGACCCTGAAGACTAACAGTAAATCTAGCTGGGCAAAGTAGGCCAGGACCTGGCTCCTTGTGATGAATAAGCCACTTTCAACATATCTTTCTGCTTTTAAAACAGAAAAGGAAGAGAAAAGTAAGTAATAAGTAGTTATTCAGTGTCTCTTACTCTTTTCATTCTTCGAAAACATAGGGAGGCACCTTTTCAAAGATCTTTGTGGCTCCTGTTTAGGAAAGGAGACCTCTAAGACTGTCAACAGACCCAGTTTGCTTTATAAAGCATGAACACATCTGACACCTCTCCTGTTTAAAGTAGCACGACAACAACATCAGTTCAATGTGCTCTTTCCTACGCTTAGCAGAAGCAAGCACCTAGTCTCCTTTTCCATATAGTTCTCATTTACCACACCTCTGGCAAAACCAACATCACATATTTGCTTTTCAATTATATTAACCTGATGTTCCCCTTCAACAGTTTTTTGTGCACTGTGGAAACTGACAAGATTGTAAATGAGTTTTTGTTTGTTTTCGAGGAGATATTAGAGCAGGAACAAGTAGACACACATATGTTATTTGACCCCTAAGCTATAAACAAAAATAAAATTCAGTAACATAAATATAACATAGAAATTATGTTAATGATATATGGCAATAAACATGTATTATAAATAAAAATAAACCAAAAATATTTTAAAGGCAAAGGGATAGCTATGCATAATAAACAAAAACATGGTTCATTTATTGGTTCAGTATTTGTTTCCATGCATGGAACACAGAATATCTGAGAGATGGAAGCTTACGACAAATATGAAGGGTAAGATGCTATCTTAATTCCCTTGTAGATCTGCTGAAAAATCCAATCTCATTGCAAAATGAGATTTATCTAACTCGACTAACTTTAGCAGAATCCAACACTGCCTAACCACTGAGCTGTGTTCCCTGAGGAAGCTGAATACTACGAAGTAATCAATCTGGGGCAGACATTCCTGGTTATAGGGTCTTTGGATGCTCGAAGATCCATCTCCATGCTGGGGATCTTGAAAGCACAGTTTGTTTTTTCAGGTAAATTAAAATTCGTGAAAATCAATTTCATTGAGCACCTACAGATCAGAAGACCTTCTTATTCATGGAAAGTTAAATTAAATCTTTTTTTTTTTGGCCACGTTGGACTGAATCCAAGTTTTAGAGATAAGAAAATTCCTGCAAATTGGAAATCTTTTTCTGGCCAACACTATTCCTATGCAAACTTCCACTGTTGACATGGGCTTTTCTGAAACTTGACCAAGAGACAAATTTAGTTAAGCAGCTTCCCAAGTGAGTTGCTTTCACAAAATACAAATATCCATAACGTAATTTTAACATGAAAATATTAGTAGTTCTTAAACTAGCAGTAAACAGCGGTCTCCTTCGCATTGATTGTAACCACAAGGAATTCTTCTGAAATTAATGAAACTATTTGAATAGTAAGGCTCTCCAGTTCGATACATGTGTGAACGCAACTGCAATCTACATGCAAGACTGAGCAGCAGCACTGCTGCATATATATTTTGTAGCAAATCTTATGCCCTACACTGGTTAAATCTGCATCTGCAAAGAGAGGCAAACAAAAATTACATTCTAATTACCATCATTTTGATTGTCTAGCAAAAGTCACCGTTGTCTTGTTAGCAAAGATAACACTACAGTGTATTGAGGGTCCAGCCTGGCTAGAAACATCTGACAGAGATGGAACACAGACTGTTAATTCAATTCTTGTCTTGTTTATCTTGGTGAAAATCAGAGCTAAGTTTATTTAAATAAACAAGAGTCACTGTTGCTTAGACCATGTCATTTGAAGATCAATTTATTATCACTGAAGTCAATGAAATCTCAGTTGTTTATAGAGAGATCTGGCTGTTAGCAGGTGAAACAGCTCAAAGCTTTATTTAGAAAAAAATTCTCAACTCTTCCCCCTCCTGATATGAGGATAAGTCAACAAATACCCTCATTGAGGTGATGGTACAGAGTTTTTACTATATTTGTTAACAACTGCCCACAAGATATTCTTGAGTGACATCAAGAGAAGCATTCTCCTTGAACCTAATGAGCATAGAAGTCAGCTTGAGATGTGCTGATTTATTAAGTCTCTTAACAGCCACTGCTGTCAAGGATGTAAATATTTCTTCATTCTTTAAATATTTTCACCTACCTTGCTGCAATCCTTCCAAGTTCCAGCAAACAAAGGCACACTTCTCTTGGCTGCTTGTGGAGAACTGGAAAAGCAAAATGAAGATGGAAAATATTTATAAATAAAAGCTATTTTAAAGATTTTAGTGATGACTGGAACCTAATCATCAACATCTGTTGACTCAGATAAAACTTGGCTTTCTTTGGCTTGCAATCGAGTTTTACTGGAACAAAAAGGATGGGATCGAGGAGTGGTTCTCAGAGTGCAGATGATTTAGGAAGTTCTCATTTAGTTATCCTTTCATTCCTTTGAAAATACCATTCTAAGTCTAAATCATTGAGTAATTATTTGGGCTATTTGGTAACCTGCAAGCAGTTCATAACTATTTAAAAATAATCAAGACCTCTGGCAGAACACTAAAATTAGCAGAATGTCAAAAATAAATTAACAACATTAAAGTGATACTTTTTCTTCATACAAACTGGAGAATTCCTGTCCTCTAGGTCACTATTTTCCTTAGCCTATGTAGATCACAAAAATAACAAAATTGCACTAGCAAAGATATATCTCATTATAAATTTGGTCCTGAATTTGTTACAGGTTTACTCTTAAATAAAATATGAAACCAGAATACTTTAGGAATTCAGCTCATCATAGACAAAAAAAAACAAGCAAACAAAAAACTTTTCTTCTGTACATATGCACACATACATGTTTGGATTCCACACAAGACTTGTAGTTTTTAAGCTTCAGAAGCAGCTGTAACACAGCATGAACTTCTCATTAAGAAATATCACCAGAATCCAGATAGTTCTTTTTTTTTTTTTTTCTCTCTTTTTCCACAATTCAGATAGGTAATGTTCTGTAGAGAAGTCCAGCAAAATATATAAGCAAAATCCAAAATTAATAGATGAGGAAAGACTTGTGGCTTTTTGCATAATCAACTCCCCAAAAGTCCAAGAAGAAGACAGGAAAAAAGAAGAAAAAGAAAAAGAAGAAAAGTCATCTTCTCTGAAGAAATATCTATTGCAGTAAAATCCTCATGTTGTGTATAAAATCCAGGTTTTAGTAATTTCCACAATAATCAAAAGATTTGTACCTTATACTTCAGATTGAATTGACATCAAAAAAATAATTGTATGAATATCTGTATAAATCAGAAAAAGACAAACAGCAACAAAATTTATTTGTTTTTTAACGAGTTAAGGTCAAGACATCTGCTGTATAAACACTTTGGTTATCTAAAAACTCACCTAACTCAAATGCATGAAGAAAAAAAAAATACCATACCTGAAAAAGATATTTCAATCTCCAGTTAAAGCTCTGAAAGTCACTACTTTCTCCTATACTGTACATATGAGACTCAGAATGGGAAAAACACCTCTAAATAACTAACACCTTCAGGGACAGATCTTCAGCTTCTGCAACTTCTACTTTCAGCTCCACTGACTTGAATAAATGTATGGTAAGTTGCGTGACTTGAATGCTCATCCCAATATCTTTTACTAGCATACATGTAGCACTTTGAGATGTATGCATTCTTCCCCTCTCATCTCATCCAAATATATTTCCAGAAGTGAAACTGCAGAGCATGAAACTAAAATGGCACTGCACTAGGAAAATTATTTTATATTCTTAGTAACAGATGGCTGAAAGATAAAAAGATGAAAACTTGGACATTCAGCTAACTTCAATATTCTTGCTTGTCACAACACAGTAATTTTATGAAACATCTAACCTTCGCTAGTAACCAGTATTTTCAAAGCGTTACATTCATGACTCTAGAAACAGATATTGTTGCTTTGGTTCTAAAGCTGTTGGGACTGCCCCAAAATAAAACCTGATTTTAAGAAATAGGGCATGCCCCAAAACACAAACGGAATAAATTGGTTCTGGAACAAAGGGAGTCCAATATTTCTTGACTGCAATTCACACATAAAAAAACCAGAGGCTCAAGTAATATTATGTGCAAAAAGATCCATAAATCAACTAGGAGAAGATTTGATTAAGAAAGGTAAAATGTTTTTCTGTCAATGCTTAAAGCTCTTCTAGTCAAACATAATTCAGGGTCCTTTAGCAAATGACTCAGCATAATCTAGATACATTTCATGCATTTCACATCGAACAATGTGACACAGTGAAATCATTGTTAGAGGATGAAGAGCTGTGCAGGCAATAACCAACCACAGAAACAAACATCTGGTCATCTGATAAGAAGATGGTGACACAGTGCTTCTAACAAGAAAATGTTTGCATTCCTGAGGACTATACCAGCATATGTATTTGGGAACTTCAGAGACAAACAAATGTTATTTTGTATACTGCGAGACTGGAAATAATTTAGATTCTCAAAGCAAAATTTTCATTTTCCTGCTTACAGGCTACCATCTCACAAGAGAACATTCAGGAGTTACAGCAAAAGCCACAGAGACACAAGATTGCATTTCCACACCTCTCTTGGTCCCAAACATTCAGTATAACCTTGAGCAAGCAAGACAGACCATTGTCTTTTGGGGACAAACAGCACTTTCAAGTGTCTTGATTTCTGAACACTTATTTTGAGATACTTTTTGTCTGGTGCTATTGCAAAATAACTGAAAGAACTTGATACTCATAGTCACTTTCAAAAGGCTGTCTCCTAAGCTTTTTTTTGGAAAAAAGCTACTTTAATGCTTTTTCCATCTAGAGAACAGAACGACAAACAGTTCTTACAAGTCCTTTCTTAGTTTGACTTATAGAAGTTGAGTTAGTTAACATTTTTGAAGCACTTCAAGACATCTGATGGAAGAGATGGCAAAAACTATTTCAGAGGCACTACACAGCACAAAAATCACTTATTTCATAATTTAAAAGAAACGTGTCACTAAAAAAGAAAATCTGTAAAAGTCCTTCTAATTCACACTTAAATTCTCACTGTATGGCAATTTAAATTCACATTTAAATTCTGACTGTCCTGCAGTTCCTGGCTAACTACACTTATATACACACAGTTTTATAAACATGTAATTGTCACACATGTATGGTAATAACTAATATCATTCAAGCACTACAGGCAATTCATTCTGAAGTGATTGGTAATACGCTCAGGTTGAAATGTAACACCTGTACCCATGGTATTCTGTTGTATACTGTGGGAACTACATCTATCACTTTCTGAATTAATGACTATATCTATATTAACAGTTGCATTTCTGTAACAGGCACCACTTGAACTTTTTGACCTGACCAGTTACTTAATTCCAGCTATGCTACATGGCAAACAGACATTTGCTAAGCAACACATTTTCTGTAATTGTAACAATTTCTATGCAATTAGACACGGTAGGCACTGGAAGCTGAAAAATTGTTCTTAGAAGCCGTCTTCATTCTATCTATGGCCACATACACAATTCACTGCATTTAAAGTCTACACTCAACATAGTGCAATTCCTTCCCACAACAGTGCTACTGTACACTGTGAAGAATTCAAACAAAAAGCAAAAAAATGAAAATTTCTCTAACACTTCTATGAGGTAAGCAGTATTATTATCCCCATCTTATATATGGAATTAGGTATAGGTATTAGATACAAAAAAAAGTACACTTATCTATTTACTATTGTAAAATAGTGCCCAATGTCCAGGGTACTATTGGATTTCCCAATCCTACATTTTGTACAAAAACAAAGCTAACACAACTAGTGATCCCATTACAAGGTTGGATACAGATCTTTCTGCTGCTTGTGGGAACTATGTGATAGAGCCATAGGCACTTCTACCAGCACTATTCAGTAGCAACATCAAAATACTACCCTTCAGCATCTTGCATTATTCTCCAAACATCTTCAGATTTTTGCAATAAATGAGGCATGCGAGGAGAAAACAACATACCAATAAGAGCTTCCTTCACTTCAGGGACTGCGCCATACCATGATGTTGGCAGAGTAAGGTTCATCCTAAAGAGAACACAGCTCTTCCAGGGAAGAAATAGCTCATGACCACATGAAAAGTTGATACGTGTATCGTAACAGCTGAATAGGTACACTAATGTAGTACAGCCAGCCTTAATTATAGTCCAAGTACTTCACTCTGCATCATTAATACAATTTTTGTATGGAAATTCCTGTAATTTTTTACACTTCCACATATGGAAGAAAACAATATTCCTGGAGAACTATTGGCCAGTTCTCCCCTATCAAACTTTAGCAAGATGAATCATCTGATTAGGTGACTATAAGCAAGTAGCAATTTGTAAATGTAGAAGACACATGCACTACACAGATCTACTGTATAAGATGAATGCAATATCCATCTTGCCAGAGAATCTCACTGATTATATTTGCTTGACAAGAAAGCAATGTGAAGATTTAGAAACAGCACATACAAGTCCAGCTTATTTGAGGTGTCTTGACAGTTACAGATCCTTTTGCTTTCCATGTCATTCATTTCAAATCCTTCTTATCTGCTGTCTTCATTGCCTGCATCTTCTCAAGTTCCTTTCAGCCACTCTTTTTTAACACTACTTCCTTTTCAGCTCCCAGCAAGCTTTTATCCCTGCTCCTCTCTGGCTAAGACTTCTTTCTCCACACTGCTTCCACCTGTTCATGCCCCTTTCTCCTTTTATAGGTTCTCCTCTCCTGATCACTCGTTCCTTGTTCTCCTTCCTTGTGCTTCATTTCTTTTCTACAACTACTGTTCACCACATTTCTGCATCCTTCACTGCTCCCTTCCCCAGAGCCTGGATCCTACCAGGAGAAGCAGAGGAGAAACAGCCTCTGCTTGCAGTGCTGATCAGCCCCTGGGGCTGTAAGAAGACAGAAGACACACTGCACATGAAAAGCATGTGTTTGTTTAGCATCTTTAAACCCAGAGTGTTCACAATAAGAAATGTGAGGGATTTTTGGTTTGTTTGCCATTTATTTTTTAAATTATCAGAATGCCAAACCACCATACAGGAACAAACTTCTTACACCTGCCTGCCAAGTTTCAAGCCTTGGCTCCTAACATGTCTATAAATCATTATTAGTGGAGTCAGTTTTTCTCCTAAACTTATTTCTTTTAAAAAAAAGATCTTAGGCATAGCTGAATTAAAAAAAGTGAGTTTGAT